CTTGAAACTTGAAAGTTGAAACTTGAATTGAAACTTGAAACTTGAAACTTGAAACTTGAAAATTGAAAACTCACTTGAAACTTGAAACTTGAAACTTGAAAATTGAAAACTCACTTGAAACTTGAAACTTGAAACTTGAAAATTGAAAACTCAATTGAATTCAAGTTTCAAGTTTGACACTACTGAAAAAATCAAAATGGTATGTTACAAGGACTGTTTACCAATTAAAGAAATAACGGTTTATTAGTACATAAGAAAAACTAAAGTACAACAAATATCGGTGAAAAAGAAAAATACATGTGTTTGACTTGGTTATATAACAAAAACAAACGAATGAGTTACTTAAAAAAACGAATAAAACGACAGTAAAGTAATAAATCATGTTCATTCACCTTCTTTTCTTCATGATAATTCTGAAACAAATAGTTTTATGGAGCAGAATTTTTACTATTTCACCCTTATTTTTCGTACATTTCTCTCATAATACGCAGAAGTTCATCTCCTACTTTTTTGATGATCGGAAGTGGTGCTTGAAAAAATTCTCTACCTGTTTTGACTCGATGTTTTCTAAATAATTTATGCATCCATGTTTCAAAGATTCTACAATTGATGCATTCATATGATTTTTCAACAATGAAATTTAAGGGAACATCAGTAGTATAAAGCTGTTTAGCATGTTTCATGGGAGTTGCGATTGTATAGCCAATCTTATAAAGATTCGGCATAGATTTATTACTAAAGACATAAACGTATCCATAGCGCATATATTTTCTAGAAATGTTCGTATACGCTAATGGAATACGAGATAATAGCTGAGGTTCAATATTATGAACATTGAACAAAGTCCATTTTTTTTCTTCTTGAAAAGGAATAGAGATCGTATCTTCTATGTTTTCATTGGTATCAATCTGTGGTACATATTCTTCAGCTTCTTCGCTAATTCGCATCTGATCAAAGTCTAAAGGTAATGGTACCAACAGATCGAGACATTTTTTTTGAAGTGATTCATCTATTTTATAAGAAAATACCATGCTCTGAATAACTTTTTGAACTTGATCTTCTAAACATGACAAATGAGTTAGAATGTTTATTACATAATAGTGAAACTTATCATGCATTTTTGTTCGCAAAATAGGTTCAAATGATTCCAGTCTTTCAATAAACTCACGCAATTTAGATAAACATTTCTCTTGTGTACGTCTATCACTGATCAACGAAAGCTGCTGTTTGTCCCATAATTCCTCTCGAATAATATTTCTCATTTGTGATTCCATATAAGAAGAAAATAAACGTGAAAACATCTCTAGTTCTGAATCAACATCCTTTTCAAAACGAGCGATGTACAACTTTATTGTTTTATCATATTGATCGACAGTTTCTCTTGAATGATCCGCGTGTTTCTGTTGTAACATTAATCTTATTCGTGAAAAAAGTGTGTCGTCAAGAATAGAAGAGAGACTCATCTCAATACCACTGATTTGAGAAAATAATAATTTCGAACGGGGAAGCTGATCGATTTTTGTAATATCAATTAAACATGTTCCTAATTCAAATGCTATGTATGAATATTCTCTTCCAACAAAATGTTTCTTTAATGTGTTGTAACGTAAATTGTCGTAGCTGTTAGGATTTAGTCTAACATTCTGTCTTTTTAATATGTCCCAGAAGTACTTTTGCCAGATATTTTCTGAATTTTGTCTCAATGTTTTTTTCAAATTTTTAGTTACGTTAAAGAATGCTTTTCTTACATTCTCAGTGGGCAGCTCTAACTCATTTTTTGGAATAATATCACATAATGGATGTGATAGTTCTAGTTTTAAAAACATCAATAATGTGTTGATGTTATTGATTATGTCATATCTTTTTTTAGTTAATTCTGTTTCGATGCGAACATGCAGCTCATTTTCGACGAAATATTCAAGAAGATCTTTTTCTTTGTTCGACATTTCAACACGATCACATCTGTTTTCAATATAGTAAATAGGTAGTTTTGCAATTATTTTTTGAGCATATTCAGCAGAAAACATTTCGAATGGAATATCACTAGTAACATTAGCTAATTTTCCTCTGTATATTTGCATTAGTTTACTTTCGTTGTCAGTCTTCTTTTGTATTGCAACTGTGCCAAAATGAGTTACAACTAAACTCAAATGTTCAGTGAAAGTATATGATAATAAAAGTCCTTGTAAAAAATTTGGTTCGAGACTCGAACGTCCGTCACCTCGAACTACATAGACGAGTTGATCACAGGCTCTCGCAGCTTCGACTGCTCGAAGTGTCATGGCCTCATAGCCATCACCGAAACCGGGAATGTCCCACGAGCAAATATCACTATATAGTTTCGAAAACGGTCCTCTTACATACATTCTATCAATAATAGGCCACCACAGTCCTTTTTTAGAAGCATAATGATTTAGTTTCTCTTTTAATTCTGTGGGGGTATTACAATTATAGATTTCATAAGTCTTTTTCATTTTTTCTTTCACGTCATCTGGAAGTCGGTCAAGAATCACTTCTTCTACATTTTGACTCCTCCATAAACATTTCTGCTTTAGTTTCCATGCCTTCACATCATCCGATAACGATGGATTTTCATCCGTATTTTCAATCTGTTTCAATGTCTCTTCAACTTTACCTTTTTCTATTTGCCATTGTTCTTCAGAAATGAAAAAAACTAGCAATTGATAGTGTTTTTCGTCCCATGAAGAAATAACAGATATTGATGCGGTGCAAGTTTCATCTTCATCTGTTGGCAATATTTCACATTCAAGAATGGAATTAATAAGTGATGATTTCCCATAACCAGCATTTCCAACTACACCAATAGATTTCTGTTTTGTGCTTCCACTCAGTGCAATAATTTGTTTCAGAATGGGTTCAATTTTTACAGACCAAACATCCAATGCTGCATTTAAATTCATCATTTGAAATTTAGTTGAAATGTCAGATTCATCGTTTGTTACTTGTAGAGAAGAACTTTGCTGGAATAATTCTTCCAACGGCTCTCGGATTCTTTTTTGGACATATTCAATTAGCATAGCTGAGTGGTTAATTTCTGTTCGCGGCATGATCCCACCACTTGCTTCACTGAGCGCCTGAAATGCAACAAAAACACGATTAATTGTACTCTTTGTTCAAGAAAGTGACATATCATTCTTTACAGACAACTTCAATACACGAGAGTGTGGTGTGGTTGAAGAGAAGACCCACACTCACACCCTGTTGAACACGCTTAGTACAAGTAAGAGATCAATTTAAAACAACCCATCTGACCCAGTTTTGCGAGCTGAGCATGAATCTGAAGTCAGTTTTCGTGATTTCTAAAGAAATTGTATGACTTCAAGGATAGGATCAATGGCCATTAGGTAGGGTAGCCAGCCTACAGTGTAGTTCATACTAATTTGACCTCCGAGTTTTTTTTACATTGGTCAATTTAATGTCAAAAGATGTGTCTTGCCGAGATCTATATCTGGTAAAAAAAGAAGTCTGAGACCTCTTGTACCACTCAAGAAAAGCCCAAAATACCGCTATCTCGAAAGGTGGGATTTATTGAGGTTTGGACGGTTTTTGAACTATAGTATATCTTTTACCCTATATATGAGTCACTTGAAAAGGATAAATTTGTAGTATATACTGTTCTCTATATAATGAGATCTTCCCGAGTTCAAACTGTCAAACTAGTCATGAAAAATGTCAAAATACTGAGCACACCCATTTTTAGCAATTTTTGAGAGTCAAGATAGAGCTTTTAAATTTCTTCTAGCTCGCGTTTTTCATAGGTAAAACCAAATAATCTAATATTTTGGATTTAACTATGGTTTGACCAGGCCTTTCATTTGAGATAACTAAATCAAAAAAAATTTTCTCAGCTATCTCTATGGAGAGTAGATTGGTTCCTCGCGGGGTGTGGTGTGGGTGTGGGTGGGTGTGAATGT